GAGAGTTCGAGTTTTAAACTTCAAGAAGTTTAGTTCTTCGGTTCGAGACTAGATGGCGCTAGTGCCGTCGACTTGGGCGCGTAACATTATTTATATATATTTTTTTAAATATTTTTAATAGTTTTGGTTAATTTATAATTATATATCTATGATTTGCGGTCCACCACTGTGCTATTTTTTGCTTATTTGTGCTGTTCTTGAAGTTTTCTTCCTCGCACAACTTCCTTGTGGCCATTAGCATTTTTCCGCACCGATACAACTTAGAGACCTTGAAGAAAAGAGTTTTCTCTTTTTTAAAAGGTCGGCATTGCATTGCATCTGCAATTCCCTTGGTGATGCAGTAATTCATGGACGGCGGTAGTCACTAATCATCGGGTGAGGTGCATGCTCGTTTGCCCCCTCTTCTATATAAAAAATCTTCTTGTATCTTCACATTAATTTAAACTTAGAGTACAGTTAAGTCTTACAAAACGATATATTGATGAAATAACAATGCAAGAAATGTAAAATGCCGTACAATCAACATTTGCGAAAGCCTTAAATTTCTTACGATCACCAGTTAAAGTTATTTTATCAATTTCGGAAACAAACGAATAAGGCAACACAAGAAAATTACCCCTTTCCGTCTTTGTACATTTACTTTTTACAGGAAAATTGTGAATCGAAACCGATTACCATTTGTTGGGGAGTGGTAAATCTTATAAACGATGTGGTAACTAATGGCTACTGTCTGCTTTACCGTACGCCGCCTTTTTATCCAGCTTAATGGTAGTGTTGCCAGTTTTTCGAGTTTTCTCAGGTCTCCAAAAGCCATATTTGGTAAAATCGTTTAAGGATGACTCTATAATTATATTATAATTATTATTATAATGCTGGCACCACATAATCGTCAATCCGTCCACCTCCAAACGTTGGCGCGAACCTGAAGCGGTATCGTTTGAACTGTAAATTGCACCTTCGTAAAAACGATCAAAAACGAAAATACTTAGCGATAATAAGGATTGACCCTGCTTCGATTATATGATATTATTAAAGTGAAACACTGATGTATATATATAGCGCTTGTTCGAGTAAGCGAACTCGCTCAATCTACATTGATTTGATGTCGATTTACTATAGCCACTTCTGATAAAAAGGTAACCTCAAGTGAACCATCTTACATATAAGAAACCAACCCTTTTACATATCTGTGTGGTGTTAGTTGTCACAACTCTCCAACTTTAAACCTTCTCCTAAATACAACAATAAACTAATCGTTTTTGTAAAGTATTTTATTGTACAAAGCATGCCTTATTTACTAGAAAAAGCCAAAATAAATCTAAAAAAACCTACATGTTCGTTTAATAAATTGAAGATGGTGGATGCTAATTAATCATCTGATGAGTAAATTTGATTTTATTTCTTGATTTGATAGTGATCGTTGCAAATCAAACAAAAAACACTACTTTGATGTTTGATTTGCAACGATCACTATCAAATCAAGAAATAAAATCAAAGTTATAAATATCCTAAATAATAGATGGATGCTTCCATGAACGTTAAAATCTATCACTAGCTTGAGAAAATAAGACCTCTATAGAGAAGAACTAGCAAGATACTCTGGGGACTTTTTTAGAAAAAGGTATAATTCCATTTTATATAAAATAATTGAATAGAATTATATTATATTTGTATTACAATTTATCTCCAACGCGTACAAATCAACAACCCTCTACACTTCGAGTGTTGGAGGGATTGTAGAGTTGGACGATCCGTGTAGAGCCCGCATTAGTATTTACAGATTGATTATTCGTTGCACGACGTGCATACAAAAGTCCTTTTGGTATTAATACATTCATTACAATAAATTGCCATTTGTTTTGAATAATTTTATTAATTTCGTCTAGCTATTTTAAGATATAATCTAAAAAAAACGCTTTAATAAAAATTATTACAAATTAATATCAGAACCTGTCTACTTAGCATATGTAACCGACTTCGTAGTTCTATCACTGCCCTAAGGTTGACTGACAGAGAATGCTTTTAGCATTAAGTCCACCTTTTGATCCTGTATTGATATAAGAAATTCGATAAATTTAAAATTAATAACTACTATAATATCTAGTACATCCTATAGGATGTAACCATATCAGGCTGTACTCATACTCATTCGCCCTTGCTTGGCCACGCACGATGTTACGCAAATGCGATTAAAATCAGGTAGGCTAGGATAGGAGTGAGTTGACAGACGCAACAATAGTCGTGGTAGATAAGCCCGTTCACTTTTAAGTACACGAAAGCGAGCATAATGAGATAGCAGTCACACACTCAGCGTGGAATCCGACACGTTGCGTAGCCTATTACTTATGTCTACATTCTACAGAAACTCTCTCAGATATAGGGGAGGCCTGTGCCCAGCAGTGGGATGTATATAAGGGCTGTAACTTTAACTTTAACATGCTACATAATCACATTCCCGTACACTATGGCAACTATGGCAATGGCCACTATGGCCATGTCAATCTTGGCAACACATTTTAATGTAAATTTATTCAAATATGCTTTGTTTTGTTCTTCGTTTTTTTTAAATAGTTGCCTAAACAGTAGAAATTTTTCAGTTTCAGGGGAGCAATTATATAAATTAACTCATGAAACCTGGACATTTAAAAATACTTCTGCCGTACGAGAATTAATCAAGGCACGGCCGCAGGCAAACGTTTTAGGCGCTACGCAACGATAATAAGATTACTTAATAAAAATGTAAATACTAATTCATACATTTCCAAAATTAAGAAATTAAAAAACTAAAATTGTACGTGGTAGAGCCGCGCTGCTGCTATATTATAGTTGTAGCACGAATGGTTCGACTCGACCGGGGCAGGACCACGCTGTCACAGAATACCAGCGTAAAATAGCAACTTGATGCTGCTGTGTTTCGTATAGTGAGTGTAGAGAACCGAAGATCCTGTTTACTGGAAACAAGGCATTCTTAGTCCTCAGGGGTGACAACGCATTTGCATTTTGATCCTTATTTGAGGATAAATGTGGATGTCTATGGATCACAACATCATTAATCATCAGGTGGACTGTGTGCTCGTTTGTAACTTAATGTTATAAAAAAATTATGAAATATGTCACCAAGGAACTGTTAAAATGAATATATCACAATAAAAAAATGAAAATATCAAAATACAAAAGATCCTTATCCGAGAACTGGGGTCCGACAGCTGGCAACTCTAATTGACGGTAACAGTCGTCTGCAGTCAGTCTCAGTTGCACCGCGTCATGTCGTTAAAATGTATTGACCTTTGTATAGTGACATTTTGCGTCTTCTGTGTACGAAATGCCAAATCCGTGACCGTCCGGACGAGATAATCACAATAAGACTGCTTAGCTTAAATTCACTGGAACGAATACGATTAAAAGATCAATCCATAAAAATCACGTAACTGGTCATCAAATAGACTATGCAGATCGCTGTGACAGCATTATACACATAAATTAACTTAAATTTAATGTTCATTACATTTTTATAAATCAATTTCGGTTGAGTAACATGATTTTGTTGGTGACTTAGTTTAAATTAAATATGTTATATAAATGTTAAAAAAGAAATGAAACATAGTCGGTTCCAAAGAACAATGGCGAACTCCCAAACAAATTTTATGTGATTTTTTTTCTTGTGTCTACAAATGCAAAATATGTAAAAATATAGAGTTTAAAATCCTGAAAATTTTTTTCTTCGGTCATACTACTGCAGGAAGTCAGGAATTAAAGATATTCCAGTTTAAACAAAATACACATCAGACTAGGCTGTATGGTATAAAACGCCTTAATTGGCAAATCGTTACAACAACAACTAGTCAATATAATTTTCATATATGTTTATATAGGGTAATTACTAGCAAGAATGCATTAGTGTAGGTATATAGACTAGTTTTATGAATAAAATACGCATCAAACTTGGCTGTATGGTATAAGACCTTTGACTGTCATGACTGACGAATCGTAACAACTACAACAACTAGTCAATTAAGTTTTGAATCATGTTTTGAATTGTGTATGATGATTTTTTGCAGACTTCGATAGGTCATAAGGTTGATTAGATAATACATAGTAAATTATTTTATTGATGTCTGTAATGGTGACATAAGTAGACGCTTAATAATTCCATCAACAATTTGCCACAACAACTAGTCCATTTAGTTTTAAATTAGGTAAGATAAGTTTTACCACACTTCGATAGGCCATAAGCTTAATTAGATAACACAAAGTAAATTAATTTAGTGTGATGAGTGTGATATCTGTAATGCTGACTTAAGTAGATGCTTAATAATTCCATCACATATTATTTCGCCATTGTCCTTAAAAAAGAACTATTGCATGCTTTAATCCCTCCCTCTCCTTTCCACCATCGGACAACCAGGCGCTCGGCGGGTCTTCACCCCTTTGTTGTTGATATTCCACGCATTAGAACCAAACGGTTTACTTCGACTTTTTTAATGCGTATAGCAAAGGAGTGAAATAATTTGCCGGCGTCGCGTCTTTCCATTCTGTACAAGGCCAGAACGCAAGGGTATGAAACTAAGTACGTATAAGTAGATTGGAAATAACTTTTTTACTAAGTTCTTCTAATCCATACCAGATCAGTAGGCAAATACTTGCATATACTTCGTAGTAACGTAGAAGTATAATATCTTGTTCCATAATGTACAGCGCCATTACGCATACGGACTAATCGTGTGTGTATCGGAATAAGCGCGCCAATTCGCGCGCAATTTCTGTATATATTACTCTACTCTATGAAGCGCGCTAAACTCTAGATTACAATTTGTACGCGAGCAGTTGCATGCTCGCCATTTGGATTTATTGACCTCTCTTTCTATTTCATGGTATTCATATCTGCGTGTCTATTTTAATCATTGAATCATCTTTCGGCACGTGCCATTGCTTTGTTTGACGGTTTTTTGCATAATTAATTTATAAAAAGTGGTAAATACAATTGAATACTTAATTTAAATATGAAAAATGGTCTTTTATTGAGTGTAAGATCGAACGAAGCGAGCTCGGGACTTAGGGCATCCCGACTCGGATAGGTTAGGTTAGAAGGAAAGCGAGCGAATAGACCCCGCCATCTCTTTCGTGGTTATTTTTTTACAAAGCCCTCCGAAGTAGGAGCCCCGCGGGGCTCCGTCGACCGGGCTTCCCTCTACTGCGCTCCGAGAGAGAGTTGCTGGAGGGAAGCACCACGCCACTCAACGTATATACAAACAATACACGATCAGTACGCAAAATTCGTGTAATAACAAATTTAAAAACAGCATTACAACATATACACGAGCAGTTACCTATGGCTGCGTTCTACAACAGTTAGGGTTGTAGTAAAACAGTCTTATAATAAGTAAAAGAAACGGTTTCAAATAGAACCATAATGCCGCTATATTTTTTATCATGGTATATTTTGGCTGTAAGCCTCTGGAACGTCAACGCATATGTATTTTGATTCATTATCGAGGATAGTTGCAGGTGTCTGTGTATTTCGTTACAATTGGAATAAAAACGTGGTAGAGCCATGCTGCAGCTTTATTAGTACTATAGTTGTAGCACGAATAGGCTCGACCGGCTAAGGACCACGCTCTTACAGAATACCAGCATAAAATAGCAGCTTAGCGCTGCTGTGTTTCGTATGGTTAGTGTAGAGAACCGGAGCCCCTTTTTACTGGCAAAGCGGCATTCCATCTTAGTCCTCACGGGTGACAACGCTTCTGCATTTTGATTCGTGATCGAGGGTTGATGTAGATGTCTATGGGGCACAGTAACCACTTACCATCATGTGGACTGGGTGCTGGTTTGTCACCCTTATCCTTATCCCTATACCTTATCTATAAAAAAATTGTTACAAACAAATTTTCATCTTTCCAGGGCAAGACTGTGATACGGCCGATCGCGTTCAAGCCGCTGGGCGGACGGCTGTCTGCGGGCGGGGAGCGGTATGGCTCGACCCCGGTGCTTGCGAGTAGACCACCATCTCTAATGACTTTATATGGAAGTAAGTTGCCAATATAGACCGTCAATTTCACGTGTTTAAATAAATAATAAACTCTTGAGGGTGGATAGCACCCCCTTATCTATTTAAATCGCATGGTAAGCCAGTATACTTAATGTGAAGCATTCATAGTGCTTTGAGGTTACGACGCTCCTGTAGTAGAGTTGAGAAAATGTTATTTATTTTTAAAGGACTTTTAGGGTCTACCCACACGTACCACAACCACAATACGTGGGCGGGCGCATTTTCTATTGAAAATGAATAGTATAATTTACATGTACCACATTTTGCCGTCATTATTGACTGCGTGACTGATACCGACCATACCACGACGCACCGCATCCACGTCGCTGGGCCTAAAACTCGCTCATAAATGAGGAGAGGCCTGTGCTCAGCAGTGGGATGTATATATGCTGTAACTTTAATCATGCACTTAACCAAGTTCCTAGGAATCCTACATTTGACGGTGCTGTCTGTAACCGGTCTGGATATTTTACATCTGCCTTAAATTAGAAGTTATACCGCAGTCATCAATTTCACCACGTCGTGGTACCGTAACCACGACGCAACCACTACGGAACCACACGGAACTAGCGGCCGGCCAAATCGCAAACACAACATTGCATCGACGCCACGGCTTGGGTTGCAAGTTGCAACGCAACCACAACGCAACTGCAAAAAACTGCAGCGACACTGTTCACAATTGACTACATTTTGTCGTTGCGATGTGGTATGATTGTGGTACGTATGGGTTGACCCTTAAAAGCATCGCGACATTTAACTGCCGTAATTGCTACTGCGGGAACTTAGCGTTCAAAATTTTACCCGAATGAAGTGCAAGCTTAATGCAAAGTTACTATTGTATCGATCACCTAATAGCGTCTTTTACTTTAAGTCACACTAAACTTTATAGACAATAATTTTGCATTCAATTATTGCCAAAATTATGTGTCAAACATTGGTATTCTGCTTATCCTTACACTCTTTTTTCAAGTTTATGTTCATTTTATAGAAGTGGGGGTAAGAAATAAGCACACAGTCCATCAGAAACAGAAACAGAAACTTTTTTATTCAATATAGATTATAAACAATACTTATTGAAAGTCAATTTTTTCATTTACCACTGGTTCGCAAAAAAAAAACCTCTGTCCTGGGAAGAACCAGCAAGAAACCCAGCGGGACTTTTTTTTCCAAATAATAGCTTACAGTCATGTTTACAATTATCAAAAGAAAATAAGAAATAGCTTGGTAGCGATCACCTCCCAGGGGTTATTATCATCCATAAATTCCTTAATATTATAATAACCCTATTTATACAAACTTAGTTTAATAAAATTTTTGAACTTTGCGTATGACAAATTTTCTACATTTTCTGGGATTTTGTTGTAAAAGCGTATCCATCGCCCCAAGAATGAATTACTGACTCGGTGGAGTCGAGTAACTGGTACTCCTAGCTTGTGTCTGTTCCTAGTACTTACAGAATGAATATCACTTATTTTTGCAAAACTACGTTTATTCTTGTACGTACATTACATTTTCATAAATGTATTGAGAGGCCAGAGTTAATATAATAATTTCCTTAAATTTTTGTCTTAGTGACTCTTTTGGTTTTAAATTATATATTGCTCTAATGGCGCTCTTCTGTAAAATAAATATAATTTCAGTGTCAGGCACGTGTCCCCATAGCAAAATACCATACGACATAATGCAATGGAAATAACTAAAGTAAACTATGCTAGCTGCTTCAACACTGGTAGGAGTTCTAATCTTTTTTACAGCATATACTGCAGAACTAAGTCTGCTAGCTAGTTTTGATATATGGGAGAGCCATTGAAGTTTTGCGTCTAGTGGGATTCCAAGAAAAATGGTGGTATCAACAAGACTCAGTTCCTCCTACATCTATGCTCGATTAAGATCAAAATGCTTTGTCACGTCTGAGGACTGAGATCGAATGCCTGGTTCCAGTCTGTGGTTCCCATCTCTCACCATGTGAAACACAGCAGTATTACGCTGCTATTTCACGCTAGTATTTTATGCGAGCGTAGTGCGCTTCCGGGCGACCTGGCCCTTTATTGCTGCAATTATAATATAGCTACAGCGTGTCTTTACCACTTAAGAGTGTTAATATTTTTTAGTTTTTCAGCTAGATTATCATTTTTGCCATTTAAATGTTTCACTGAGGACGAAATGCATCTACAGGTTCTTCCGATGTTCGAGAATCACGTTGGTGTGGGTCTCCACAACCGGCGTCTTTATCCGCTCTGCCACCTGCCACGCTCTCCACCCCGCTTCACCAGAGACATCACTCAGCTATCGTGTAAGTACAGACAAACATAATTTATAAGAGAGAATACGTATGTGAAAAGTTATTACTCTATGAGTGTGTCCCGCGACATTATTTGGATTTGTTCTTTTGATAACATCTAAATTACAAAAGACTGACAAGAGGGGGTTGGGCTCGGTTCTCTTTTGAAAATATCTAAATCAGAAAAGAGAGACAAGAGATGGTCAGCCTCGTTTCTCTTTTGAACATATCTAAATTTGAAAAGGCTGACAACAGGATGTCGGGCCCTTTTATTCTTTTGAAAATATCTAAATTAGAAAAGAATACAAGAGGATGTCGGGCTCTTTTCTCTTTTGAATAATTGCCATCGAGACATAATTGTAGTTTTAAAAACCTTCAGCACCGCTCCTGAAACTTTACTATTTATCTCTCTGTTTCTTTTTAATATAATTAGGAGTACGAACACACAGTCCACCTGATGGTAAGTAGATACCCAGGTCCATAGACATCTATCCTTGATTAAGAATCAAAATGCAGATGTATTGTCATCCCAGGACTAAGATGGAATGCCTCGTTTCTAGTAAAAAGGATTTCCGGTTCTCTACACTCACCATACGAAACACAGCAGCATTACGCTGCTATTTTACGCTGACCTATTCGTGCTACAACCACAGTACAGCTGCAGCGTGGCTCCACCACGTGGAGTTGTATAAGAATCGCGCTGCCATTCATTAGAAAGAGAGAACCAGTATAATCTAAGTAGCCACTTACTATCAGGTGTAAGTATTGCTGTAAGTTCTTCTGTCCTTCAGTTTAAAAAAAATGTATATTATGAATATTTGTTCTATTGTTATACAGATCGTTTAACTAAAATCAATTTGTTCAATAACAAGTTTATGTAATCAATATTTTTATGTTACCATTTTAGTATTTTAGAAATTAAAAAGATATCAATTTATATAAAAAAGAACTTTTTGAGAAAAAGGTTCGAATATACTCTATATTCGAACCTTTTTCTCAAAAAGTTCTTAATTTTTCCTTTTTTTTTAATATCTTTAAAGATATGCCAGCTCTATGAGTCCAACTCATGAGGGATGTTTGTTACATAAGTTATAATTAGCACATTCGTAATGTTAATACCGTTTAGAAGTTAAATAAATATCAGTTACAATATGCGTGAAAGGTAAACTGTGATGCGGGTTTTTAATTAGAGACTTGGTTGCTGCATCTTAATACAGAGTAGCTTACGAGTACGTGCATACGCATTCAATTAAACGCAAATTACAGTGTATTAATTTCTTTTTAATAGTAGTGAGACAATTTCAAGTGTAGTAGATTTAGAACTTGGTTATTTGTCAGATGCACGTGCGATGGAGACATCATAGCTTGCATCAAATGATGTGGAATGAGATAACCCCTTATGCCTACCACCACCACACGATTCTGCAATGATATAAAATGTGTATTATACAAAAAATATACATAAATACACAAACACTCACGCCTGTCACCCAGAGGGGTAGGCAGAGACTACAGACTTCCATTTGGCACGATCCTGACACACCTCTCTCGCCTCATTCACATCCATATACCTACGCATACATGCTCGTCGGTTAAGGGTACTCCTAATTTGGCCCGTTTTCAATAAATCGCCAATTTGGTCGATAAATTTTCGTCTAGGACGTCCCTTTCCGACTCTGCCATTCACTTCTGCAACATACATTTTCTTTATCACTCTTTACTCACTCATTCTTTCCACATGACCATACCATCGAAGCATTCCCTTCTTAATCCTGGTCACAAAATATATAATACAAATATTTACAATTATCGTGATATCAAACTGTTTGCTTAAGCTAACAATCAACGCAAACATATCAGACGTAATAAAAAACTGTTTATCTAACTGCCACACTGAAACTGTATAGAATTTGATTAACGGCTCTTTATGTCTATTTCTCTCCTTTTTGAAACTAGAATAAAATAGATTCGAATATTTTATTCGACAACTTGATTGATTCATTTATTTTACTCTTCAATGGTTTTGTAAAAACGTCTATCCTAGGAAACCCGGGCAAAAATCTGGGGTTTTTAAGTTAAACACACTCAATTTTAAAAAATATTTGCGCAAACCTCTGATTATAAATAGATACTAATGACCGGAAAAGTAGTTTTATTCAATTTAAAAAATATTCGAATAAAAAGGTCTATTTTCAGTATAGCACATGTAATGCGCTGTAATGCTAACAATAATGATGAAACGCACGATGGCGGTATAAAATACGAATATCGACTTCCAGATATCGTATAACACACATTTTACGAGTAAATAAGAAATTATAGTCGCAGATGAAGGTATACCATCTATCGTAAGCCGGCAGATTTTTTACATAACCCTTGATTATATTTCACAATATCTAAAGAAATATAATATATCTATTTATTTAAATTAAAAAACGAAAGATCGAATATCCGACCTACCCATCAATTTAAGAGAATCTGCAACCAAATTTCATCAAATAACGCTGTAGTTGTAACATTGTTACCTCTATGGGTTTTGTGAAAATGCTTCGCAGCAGCAGTGGTTGCTTTTAGATTTTTTTAATTGCTATAAATTAATTGCTTATATGGTAACTGATTATATAAGGGAGCTGCCGGAGACGCATACCCAAGGTTGTATCTATATATAGGGTGGCCTGGTGACTGACTACCATAGTACTGTTGCACAATGTATAGTCCTATGTATAGCATATCAATGCCGACTCTACAAACCTGTGAACAAAGAATGTATAGGTGCTTTTTGGCAGAAATAAAAAATTGAAATGACATTTCTAGATGGCAGGAGCCATCTAGAAATGTGCATTCAAAAAAGAGCCCGATCACGCTTAAATTTCAAAAGAGATTATAACTAATATATGATTATTACGTTACTTTAAAATTTCTCTAAATCACAAGACTTACAATTAATTGCACTGCAAATAATATGAAATTAGTTCCAGCTAAGGAATATCAAATAAAACAATCTTCACGCTTCAAGTGAACGTATCATAGCTGAATAATGAGATGAAATATTAATTTTTCTACGTAGAAAATTTCAATTGTCAAACTTAATTTTAAACCATGGCTTGGTTTGGGAAATACACGGCGAAAGAAAAAAGAATGCCTACTGAGACGGGTAAATATCCACACTTTGTAAAATATTTTATAAAATGGACAAAAACAGGGCCGTTATATTGTACCATGCTTTTTCTGTAAACTAACATTTCTTATTGACCTTTTGGTTTTATAACGATTTCTTATATTTACGCGAATACGACACATGGACGAAATTTAATTTTACGGATTTAATCGCGTTTTTTGATTCCTGACGTTTTGGACACTATACTATGCACCCATGATGATGGGGGGAGGGACTGAGGGGTTTGACGTACGTCCTGATGCCATAATCAACAAAGGCTACCTAGAATCAAATTTATTAAGGTATTGCAGTAGTATGCTTGGATTTGTATTTAATTTTATTAAGGATCGGCGTTCTTTTGCGAGGATTTGTGGTCTATCAAATTTGATTTAATATAGTAGTTGGGACGATTGTGAACATTCTGACATACTGCAAACGACTTCCTAGAGCGACGCGGTGCTTCACATCAGAGATATGTTCTTTTACGCGGGTTTTATGGATCTTTTTGTTTGTTATGACAATGAACGTGAAATGTGGTCGCTCTTACATTTGTGTGTTTTGTTTATAAGAGAGACCACATTTATAACATAGTTTGTACACTCGTGTAAAAGAATAGCACACTTGACTTGGCGTCTACAAATTAATTTTTCTGTACATGTTCACAGACTGCAGACTTCCCGGAGCGTCGATTCTTCACATCAGCTATATGTTCGTTTAAAAAACGCGCGTTAAAGAACATATAGCTGATGTGAAGAATCGACGCTCCGGGAAGTCTGCAGTCTGTGAACACGTACAGGATCGCCCCCGTCACTACATCAGATTTGATAGACCGCAAATCCTCGCTAAAGAACACCGATTCCTTCCAAGGATGATTCGCGAGGCTATTGAAATCAAAAAACATCCTAATTTCAATAGAGAAGACGGCTGGGTGCTACCATCTGCTTGGGATCCTATAATAAATAAAATTAAATCCCAACCCAAGCATACAACTGCAAGACTTCAAGATACCATAAGTTCACACTGCATAGATCGGAACAAAAGTTAAATTTTAATCTATGGTAACCGCGGTTAACTATGACATATGGACGTTGAACATCTCAGTCCCGCCCGTGACCACGAGTGCTGTAAAGCGTTCGAAACGTCGGGTATATAAATTCCGTAAAAACTAGTATTATTTCAATGTGTAGTGTTCGCGTAAATATAAGAAATCATTAATTTTTCTTATTACTGTCTATTTTCATCATGCCATCTTGTAAGTAAGGAGTTACACTTTACTCCTTGCATTGAATGTTGGATACTTCGCAATCAACTCGACCGACGCGGCGTGTGGATTAAAGATTGCAGTAAAAGAATTCCCACAATCCAGCATCTTATCGTAAAACGTAGCGTATACACTCTCCACATGGGAGAGACTTTAGTCAACGGAAATGGGTATATAGTAACCGACATACGTTACATTACCGAGTTCTATACACATTCCTAGAAGTTTTAGGGTAGGCGAGCTTTCGCCGTGCTTGCCTCGATTCTTTGTGCAGGTTTGAATCTATGAATTATATTATTAGTTACACACCGTGCAGTTAGGCGGTGTAAGAATATCCACATCCCCATATCATCCCGTGGTGTCGTGAGAAGCAGACAAAGACAGAGGGGAGCAAATCAAGAGATGGGCAGCAGCGTCTTCCTAATAACGTGTAAAAATAAAAAACTGCGGTTGCCAACACGCTTGCCAAGCGTGGCAACTATGGCAAATATCCCCCCTTTGAGGCAATTTGTGGAGGCCCATGTTCAGCAGTGGACTATAATCGGCTATAACGATAACTGTAGTCACACACAACAAAATGTACAGCGAAATTTAAACATAAAACTACACAATAAACAATATACAACACAGTCCACCTGATGGTGAGTGGATGCTGTGGCCCATAGACATCCACATTTATCCTCAATTAATAATCGAAATGCATATACGTCGTCACCCCTGAGGACTAAGATGGAATGCCTAGATTCCACTAAAAGGGGTATTCGGTTCTCTACATTCCATACGAAACACAGCAGCACTAAGCGGCTATTTTACGCTGGTATTCTTTGAGAGCGTGTTCCTACCCCGGTCGAGCTGACCCTTTCATGCTGCAACTGCAACGTAGCTGCAGGCTGCAGCGTGCTGCAGTCATATTATAGTTGAATATATAAAAAAAATACAAGTTCAAAAAAGTATGGTTAGAGAGTACCCTCCTATTTCGGGTAGGTTAATAGAGTTATTTGTCTGCCGGACTGCTTAAGTGTGTGTAGTCGGACTTTACATCTCTTCTAAACATATTCGTCAAACATTGAGATTTCCTTACAACGTGTTCCTTCATCACCGAGCAAATCAGCACTTAAATTGCGATTTAAAAATTACATCGATGCCTGCTAGAATCTAACAAGTCAGATTCTAACGTATGTGAACTGTAGCGCTACCTCGACTTCATACATAATAAATGGAAAATTGTTATGTATTGTTAACCATTTCCATATAAAGCAATACAATTTACACCGTCATAAACAAATACCTTAATACAACGCAATTGAATAATAGTGCCGTATAAATTCCTCTTACAACCCCATCGATAGGTCGGACCTACAAAGTCGACTCATTGTCTCAAATGCGCTTTAGAATTAGACATTATAAGTGTAGCGAATGGCGAACGAACAATGATAAGTACTGAATTATTAATGAAATGTTAAACCACATACTGCATAGCAAGTGTGTGTACATAGCGAACATAATTAATGAACAATAATAATTACATTTATAGAAATTTTTTTATAGTAAAAGGGTGACAAGCGAGCACACAGTCCACCTGATGGTAAGTGGTTGCTGTGGCCCATAGACATCTACATCTATCCCCGTTTGCGAATCGAAATGCAGATGCGTTGTCAGCCTTGAAGATTAAGAGTGAATGCCTCGTTTCCAGTAAAATGGGTCTCCGGTTCTCTACACTCATCATACGAAACACAGCAGCATTAAGCTGCTGTTTGACGCTGGTATTCTGTGAGAGCGTGGTCCTTCCCCGGTCGAGCCGACCCATTTGTGCTACAACTATACAATTAATATAGCTGCAGCATGGCTCTACCACGTAAATAATAGTAGAATGCCATTTTTACGTGAAAGCTTTATCATTTAGTTGAGATATCTTTGCAGCAATGCTCCTTAAAGCAAATCCTCGAGAGATCAATCCACGATGAGAGGCCCACGTCCAACTGTGGACTTCCACGGGCTATTAAAGAAGAATAATAAGAATCTGGAAAAGGTTTTATTAAAGTAAAACTACATTCTTGACTTGCGTCCACTTTTGAACATTAACGTTAGCTGAAGAATAAATTAATTGGCGTAGCTTTATTAAACTGTAAAATATCTATAGCATCCATTGTTCGCTTGCTGTGCACTATCTTTCATTAAACTGTGTAATTAAAATTATTAACGAGACGTGATCACGTGCTGCGCTCCCGCCTTAACAATTTCTGAATGAGCGTGAGTCGGTTGTAGCGATAAAATGTAGCTTTGTGAATTAAAATTAAGACCAATGATACTTTTATCGCGGTCGTTTTATTAATTCACTGCGTAACGAGGTCAATGTTCTGTATTTCCTATTATTTTTAATCGTTATTGTTTTTTTTAACGATTCACGGCCTTACTCAAAAAATTAAAAATCTTTGTCAATTATACCGAAGGGGCAGGTATATAGATAAAAATTACTTAATTTGAGCAAGTGATAAGTAAGGCCACCAATATTTTATAATTATATTTGTAGGTGGAGAATAACATTTTATTATATAAATTCGTTATAAAACTTAAGTCATGGCAGCTATAGTCAACCAAATCTAAGAAATACATTTTGACAGCTGTCAGACTTATTGCACCAAGCATGCCAACCAAAAAATTGGAACGTACAATATTCGATTCTTAAAAAAATCGATATCGATTATTTAGAGTTGGTAATCATTTAGTTTGGTTTGAATAATACCAGAATAAATTAAAAACGGATAATTTAAAACACAAGATTTATCAGTTTCTTCGTATTTGTTGTTATTGCTTATTTCTAGAGGCACAGTTATAAAAATTTAAGATTGAAACTTGATTAAAAATAAATTTATACAATCACTTTCAGTAAAACTAGTAGATGTGCTGTCGTTGTTTATATTAACTATTAGTTGATTTTCAATAATGCAGACAAAATTAATGTCTCTTTCAAAGTCATCCATAATCAATTTTTTTTCAACCACTTTTGCCCAATCATCCTTTGTGACATGGGCACATGCTTCAACGAATTTTTTTATGGCATTGGGTGACAAACGAGCACACAGTCCACCTGATGGTAAGTGGATGCTATGGCCCATAGACATACATATTTATTCTCAATTAAGAATCAAAATGCAAATGCGTTGTCACCCCAGAGAATTAAGATGGAATGCCTCGATTCCAGTAAAAAGTCTCCGATTCTCTACACTCACCATACGAAACACAGCAGCATTACGCTACTATTTTACCCTGTTATTCTGTGAGAGCGTGGTCCTGCGCCGGTTGAGCGCACCCATTCATGCTACAACTATAATATAGATGTAGCGTGGCTCTATCACGTACAGAAAGTTAAAAGAAACAGTCCAAAAAGTTAAAGCCGAGTCACAGTCCAAAAAATTAAACACGAGCTCTCGAAACAGAAACAGAAACTTTTTTATTCAATATAGATTATGAATAATACTTATTGAAAGTCACTTTTTTCATTTACCACTGGTTCGCAAAAAAAAACCTCTGTCCTGGGAAGAACCAGCGAAAAACCCAACGGGACTAGTTTAAAAAAAATAAGAGTTTACAATCATGCGTGTTACAATTAACAACTCAAAACAAATTAGAAATAGCTTGGTGGTGATCACCCTTCCCAGGAGTTATTATCATCCATAAGTTCTTTAATATGAAAATAACCCTTTTTATACAAACTTCGTTTAATAAAGTTTTTAAACTTTGTGTACTTACATCAAATTTTGTATATTTTCACTGATTTTATTGTAAAAACGTATACATCGCCCCAAGAATGAATTACTGACTCTGTGGAGTCGAGTAACTGGTACCGAAATGGCGGGATATTGAAATTATGTAGTGGATATATTAACACGGCCTTGTATATGAGTTTTTTTTGTCTACACAAATTTACTTTGACAAAGTAAAAAAAAATAAACTTGTTTTATTCAATATTCATGTTATTCAAGGAATTTTGAAAATAAAAAATAAATGAAACAAATAATACATTAAAAAAATTAATGATTTGATTATTTTAAAATGTTTACCGATTATTTGAATATTTTGCTGATAATTCGCATAACAACCGATTTTAATGATCCAAACACTATGGTAATATATACATAGCGACATATCATTGAAACGACGTCAAGCACAAAAAGTTAATACTGGTTATTTTTTAATATTTTGCTTTGTTTAAAAAATTCAAACTTAAATTAGTGATAAAAAACTAAATACGTTGTAATGAAATATAGATAACTTCATAATTCTTCGGATTTACGTAAAAGGTTATTTTAAATCGTGTGGGTACGCTGGTGCAAAGTTATTGCGGAATGATTAATATGAAACGTCAAAAGGTATTTCTTAGATTTGGTTGACTATAATGACTAATATAAATACTCGATCCCCGTCGACACAGCTGAAATTGTAAATCGCTACTTTAATTAAAATAAAGCTGATTTACTATATGCTCGGCAGCGAATAAAACCAAGATATGGGCAATCCACCAAACTGATATGGAATACCGCGGTTTACTCTTTCCTACTATTAAACCTTTCACAAATGAGACATGGCCTGTGCTGGACAATTTCAAGCGGGCATCAAATAGTCAAGTAATTTTTAAAAAAGTACCCAACTGACAACGCGCGTAAATATAACATTTCTACATTTAAATTTCAAAGCATAGTTCGTTGTGTTTTGCACTTTTATGGTATTTCAATAATTCCTTTAGAAAAAATATATAACTTGCCACGTGTTACATTGAAAATTAGCGTTACATATTACGCTACTAACGACGTTACAAATACAAATGTAATCATTATAGATCTATTTACTGTTTGTTACACATACATCATATTGCATCTCAAATTAATCTGTTACGATCTGTCATCAGTGCAGTGGCATTAGGCAAAAAGCGTCATTTTAACGGCCGCACGCGTCCATACATTCACACACATTGTTGCCGCCGTGCTCGCTGCGCGTATACTCCCCTAGTTTAGTAATATAGAAGAGTATTGAAAAATATTATTACATACGTATTTTTTTATAAAAAGAATTAAAAAAAACGAAATATGGACTAAATGTGGTATTTGTGGTGTTTGTGACATTAAAGTGATGACGTAACATTTGCAAAGCGGTGCGGTTTGATCTTCCTTATGTATAAGTAAGTTTGAATGTTGTAATTTCGCGGCTTTTCGCGCGGAATTTAAATTTTTTTTTCTATGCATTTAAAAAGTTTTGTTGAATTCAAAAGTTTTAATTCTCGGTTTAAAAACAATATTTTGTATTCAAATTTGCAGAGCAACTAAACACAACAGTGTTTCGTGTGCGCTGCACGTATTTGAGGATGTAAACAAATTCTTGTTTTTTTTTCATATTGGACATTGTCAATTAAACGAAATTCATTAAAATTCTACGCAATATGATTTATGTAACATTTTAAAAATATATCTTATATTTACGCGAAATCGTTTTAAATTAAATGCTATAAGATATTTTAACTTACAGCATTTAATTTAAAACGATTTCCCCGCAGCAATGTTTTTCTTTACTTTAAAATTCACGTAAACATTGAAGCAAAACAACTTTTCTATCAGAGAAAAAAGGTTAAAGAAATCCCAAAGTTAAACCTGTCGGACAGACATCAATTTTTTTTCAATAAGAACGTATATTGTGCAGACATTTGGAAAAGTATTTAAAATGTTAAAATCACAAACAGTAATGTGTTGCTGATGACTGGCCATATGAGGACGCTCAAAGTCGCTCAGCGAGCTATGGAGAGGGCTATGCTCGGAGTTTCTCTGCGTGATAAACTTAGAAATGAGGATATCCGCAGTAGAACCAGAGTGACCGACATAGCCCAACGGGGTAGTAAGCTGAAGTGGCAATGGCCGGCCATATAGCTCGAAGAACCGACAACCGTTGGGGAAAAAAGGTTCTCGAGCGGCAGCCTCGTACCGGTAGGCGAAGTGTAGGGCGACCCCCCACTAGATGGAGTGACGACCTGGTAAGACATGCAGGAAGTCGATGGATGCAGGTGGCTTAGGACCGTGTTTTGTGGCATTCCTTGGGGGAGGCCTATGTTCAGAAGTGGACTTGTGAAGGGCTGTAATGATGATGATGAATGTGTTGCAATATCACTCTTTTAAAGTCCTCAGATTTGGAACACAATTACACTAGGCAGACCAGTTGATGAGCGCAGCAATACTGTAAGTGACTTCCCTCATCACTCCTCATCACCTATGAATATTTAAAAATGTGCTGAATAGCAATGTTGGTTCAACATGTTGTAACCAACCATAAAATTTCTTTTTATAGTAAGTAGACAGTTTTATATTTTTTGTGGACGTTACCGGATGTATACGTTACTAGATGTTCTCCTATATCGTGGAGGTAGTTTACATACATAAATAGCACAAGGACCTCATCCATCAAACATCCAGACCTAAAATTGTTTGTAGGCCATACAAATACTTGTTCCTTGCGGTATTCAAACTCACAGTCTCAGGGCCCAATTCATTGCTAAGCTACTGCGACACGGGGCCGTCACATATACTCGTAGTTTTGAAATTTTGCCGCCGCTTCGCTTAAAAAAAAGGGATATAAGTAGGTAGCCGAGTGCTGGCGGTGTAAAAAAATCCATCCCATACATTTTGTCCTGGAGGTGTCTTAAGAGGCAACTAGAGGAAATGGCTGAAATATCTTGTGGCTTCCGCTAGATGGCGGTACATATTCATTCGGTCATTACGGCCCATCAAAGTACACAATATTTTTTTTATAGAAGAGGGGGCAAACTAGCATACAGCTCACCTGATGGTAAGTGATTACCGCCGCCCGTGAACACTGCAACACCAGGGGAATTGCAGATACGTTGCCGGATTTTTAAAAAGGAGTAGTCTCTTTTCTTGAAGACCCCACTGATGAATACAAGGCCTTTTCGTACGTATAACGTATTGCCTCATAAGGGGGTGATTGCCATAGTTGCCACGCTTGGCAGGCGGGTTGGCCACCGCAGGTTTTTATTTCTATAATCTCTATCTCATATACACTAGTTGTAGAATACTAATACTCGCGATGGAAAACAACGTTAAAGTTGTGACGTCTGGTACTACGATCTTGAATTCGCCTGCCAGGCTAATTTTCCCTACGTTGGGATGCCCATTTCGAGCAGTGGAATATTTCGGGTTGATCATATGCCAAAGCAAAGTCATAAACAGATCTATCCGCATGATCGGTTAAACGGGAACCAAGCCATTCAGCGTGGTGGGCGTTAAATCACCAAGCATCACGATCTCTGCGGATGGGACCAGTTGTAGCACAGAGTCTGCAACCATGTGGCACGTCCACATCGTCATGACATCGATAAGTCGGTCTGTGTTGGCACTATCGCTATAGAACCTATAGAGGCACCCATAGATGCAGGATATGATGATTAAGAAGAAAAAGATGATGATGATCAAGACACATAGAAAGATGTTATGGTTAATGCATTCTGTGCTTTTAGAAACATCGCGTTATAACATAAATCTGACGTTACTAGGTTTTGGTTAGCGTCAACAATACCTACTTAAAACTGTCATTGAAACAAGTCCGAGTGACTCAGGACCTCAGGACGCAGGGCAGATAAAATACGATAAGGACTTCGATCGCCTGCGTGATGTACATGAGTAAACATTAACGACAGTTGGACGCAAGTAAAAATAAGTCTTGTTTACACGAGACTGTAACGTTCACATCGTTTATAAAAGATAAGATAGGAAACCAAACAGCAAATATTCGAAAATCCCGGATTACAATTCACAAACGAATTGGCCTTTTCCAACGGTTTTTAAGACTTAATTTCTTGAACTTTATTACCTATTTACCTACCCTCCTAATAAGCCAAACAATAAAATTTAATTATTATCATACCTTGATCGAAAATTCGTATATCGACCCTATTTTCAGGGGCTAAAGCGCCACATTGTCTCCCGATTCAGTGACTTATTAATTTAGTACGCATGCGTCAAATTCCTAGTACGCATGCGTCATTTCTAGCCCTATAGTTTGTAAACGTCGAAAGTATATATCATGATACTTTGTGAGTAAATTATATTACTTGAATTTAAATCGAACTTTCGATCCTGGTCTGATAAAAAATAGTAAGTAAGTTATACGCACTACGGGAGAAGAGTATGACATCGCAACCCCCGTTCTTATCAACCTCGCCTTCGGCTCGGGTGACAATACAACGGCGGTGCAATTTCATACCTTCCGCCCTAGTGGCAATATACTTATTATACCTACTATTGTTAACAGCTTTCCAAGATACAGAATGAAAGAATATTTTAAGGAGCCGCGCACTCACTGAGGTATCTTTTCAGACATGCTAGACGATCTAAAATAAAAGAGAGTACCCCCTGATCGGAGAGAGATAAGGAAGAGTCAACATACGTATGCACGTCACATTGGGCTGTTACTTTAAATTGCTACAATTGTACAGAAACTAATCGCAATATCGAATGGTACGGAAATACCAATATTTCTATGGACATAGCACTGCAAGTGACAAATTCCCGCCAGTTGCTGCAGTACATCAACATAATATAACACGTATTTTACGATCAATGCATACTACTTCAAGTAGTAGATATGTCTGTATGACAAAAGTGACTCATATTGTATTATGTTGTATGACTAAAGTGGCACACAGTTCCACCTGATGGTAAGTGGTTGATGTGGTCCATAGACATCTACATCTATCCTAGATTACGAATAAATATGCAGATGGGTTAGCAAAAAAATTATTAGAAAAGGCTGATTAAAAAAAGTTTTTATATATAATTATTTGCTTGTCTTTTGGCGGTTTTGTATTTTAGAATACAGACTACCCGACACTATTGGTAAATATAAATGAATCAATCTAATTAAATGTGTAAATGGGAATTCGTTACTCATCGGCACTATTATCGAGACATTTCCTTTGATTTCATTATCTACCCGGCGTACGATTGGCACGTGTTTCCTTTTTCGTTGCGCAACAGCTCCCTGTTACTAATAACTGTATTAAATACACAAAAATACCGTATAAGACATCTTATATTGAAAAATCGCATTCTGTCACACCTACGATAGTCCAGCTTGGGTTTTTTTTTATAGAATAAGGTTCAAACTCAAACTCAAACATAAAGGTTAATAAACAAGCACACAGTTCACAAACACAACATCTACATCTCTCCTCTAATAAGAATCAAAATGCATATACGTTATCACCCCTTAAAAATTAGACGGAGTGCCTCATTTCCAATAAAAAGATCTCCGTTTCTCTTCACTCGCCGTACGAAACATCAGCATTAAGCTCTTACACGCTGGTATTCTGTGAGTGTGGTCTTTCTACTGTCGAGCCGACTCATTCTCGCTAAAACCGCATATAGCTGCAGCTTGACCGCGTATAAAAATACGGTTCAATAATTTAGTGATTTAGAGGTCATAGACATGGGCTTACGTGATATTTTGATGCAAAAAGAACGTTTATCAATACACCACAAATAATAAAAATCAACTAATGAAATGTAACGATTCTTTCACATTATTACAATCTATCACAAATCCATTGCTGAGTTTAAATCTCTTCTACGAGTATTACCAATAAGAAACCTTATCAGGTCGACGATGAAACACTCCATCTAGACCCGACCCCGCTAGTCTTTACTTATTGGTACAGGGTTAGCTTCGATTATGCCATGAATAAATATCGTTAGTGTGATTTCATTCATAAGGTCTATTGGTCACATGCATACATTTATAGTAACTTATTCTATTAGTTTGTTACTTATACTGAAATAACAGATTTAAAATAAAGTTAATATATTATAATTCAACATCGTAAACTTTAAATACGGTACGGTAATGGTAGATTGGGGGCGAGCTTTCCACATCCGCGGCCAACATAAGTTTATTTTGGGAAGATCGAAAATAAACTGCAAATGCACTCCATGTGTTTTTTCGCATAAATTTAACCTATACGAAAAGCGAACTGTTCTAGTACTTATTAGTGGTATGGTACTTAGGTAATTTCATACTTAAAATTGCCGTTTTATATTAAAAAAAAATTGACTGACTCGGTAGAGGTCTTGAACTGGACCACTGATAATAAGGTGCCAGGTAGGGCCAAAAAAATTTATT